TGGTGGAAGAGCTACTGTTTCTGGGAATGCAGACTGCCGAGATGCTAAATGCAGATTTTTGTTAGGGTGGCCACCCAGCTGAAATAATGGTAGTCTGGTTTTAATGGGTCGATTAACTGATTAAGTCTGCTTACAAGAAAAGCCAGCCATTCTTTAGAACAAACCAACCCATCCTTTCAAATGATGCTCGCATGTGCCTCACCGGACCTCAGCCCAGAGGAGTACTCTCTATGCTCTGTCATGCAGAAGGGGGTGCTTCCTATGTGGAGATCCTGCTTGCCGCCTTTCCCACCCCCCAATAAGTACCTATATTCCAAGCTCTTCAAAAATCAGTCAGACTTAATCAAGCTCCTCTTCGAATCCATCAAAATGCTTTAAACTGAGCGATCAAGCCAGTCCATTAACTAAACCCTGCAGCCCTCATTTCTGTAGTCTGAATGTCCACATGTCTCTTGGAGGATTTGTACCCAGATTCTGAAGAAGGGGCATGTGCACACGAAAGCTTCTACCCGGAATTAAACTTTGTTGGTCTCAAAGGTGCCTCCACTGGACTCAAACTTTGTTCTGCTGCTTCAGACCAACATGGCTGCCCCCACCTGAACCCAGAGTCTTGTAGGCACAGATGTGGGGCTGGAGGCATAATGTGGGCCCAGCTCCAGGTCGCCTGTGGGCTCTCAGGGCAGCCTTGGGAAAGTGACTCCCGCTCATCCCCACCCCACCCCCCCGTCCGCACAGTGGGAGGCATGTGTGGTCTGCCGCAGGTGCTGGGTGTGAATGGGCACACGGTGTGGACTCTGCCTTTTCTGGATGTCGGTGGCCGCGTGGGTGTCGTTCAGGCAGGGCGGTCTGAGTGCGGAGCTGGGCCCAAGTCCCACCGGCACAAGGCTGACCGCGGGCAGGCCGGAGGCTTCATGCTAAGGGTGGCTGTTCCTCTTCTCGGCAGAAGCGGCAGATGGCCAGCGTAGACCGGGTCACTCTGTACGGGCTGATGGTGAAACCCATCCAGAGATTCCCCCAGTTCATTCTTCTGCTGCAGGTAACCGTTTCAAGACGCTCAGTTTGCTGCTCCTTGCAGAGTCAAGGAAGGGCCAGAATGGGAGGAGCTGGTTGGCGCAAACAGAGAGGGGGTTCTCTGAGGCTGCGGGCAGAGTGCCCGCACGGGCCCCGTGCAGTCGGCTTCAGCACCCTCCTGACTGGCAGTGCCGGCCGTGGGTATGCGTGTGATGTCTCTCCTTGACAGCCCCCCGTTCTGTTCCTGCAGGACATGCTGAAGAACACCCCAAAGGGCCACCCGGACCGGCTGTCGCTCCAGCTGGCGCTGACCGAACTGGAGACCTTGGCAGAGAAGCTCAACGAGCAGAAGCGGCTGGCCGACCAGGTGGCTGAGATCCAGCAGCTGACCAAGAGCGTCAGCGACCGCAGCAGCCTCAACAAGGTGCGCGCGCCGGGAGAGACCGCGGGTGGCCTTTGGTGCCTGCGGGGGTTTTCTACGGGCCGGCAGGATGCGCGTCCTTCCCAGGCCCCGGGCCTCCGCCCGACCGAACCACCCCCACGTGGAGCCTTTGCGGCTGGGTCTCACGGTCAGGCTAGGACACCTGGAGGTCCAGTCGTGGGGCTCCAGTCAGTGCTGGGTGCCGTTGGGCCCTTTGAATCACCACACCTGCGTGCAGCCCACTTCCTTGACTGCCTGCAGCGCTCTGATGCCGGGTACCCAGGAGCTGCCAAAAACCAGCAAATACAAATGATGATAAAATACCTCAGATAATTTTTATGTATTTTTTGTTTTATATTTTTACAATTGATTCACCATATATTATTTATCGTCTCTTAATATATCACAAAAGATATTGCACAACCCCTTTATTAATATCAGTCCTCCTTAATTATGCAAAAGTTTTAAGAGGGAGGACTTCTTTAAGTCTGTTTTGAATAAGTGCTTGTCTGGGTACCCACAGCTATCCAGCAGAGGTCCAGCTGTCCTCCTGTTTCAGTGTCTTCCTCTGGGAGTTCAACAGATATTTCCAAGCACAAGGTGGCCAAATACTAACATAAAAGGTAGCAAAAACAGAATAGGTTACAATACTAGCAGTCTCATAGTGGACGGAGTCTCAAGAAAATGAAAAGTTCTTACCCAAAATATTTATCCAAATTTTTCAATGAACGCTGCAAAAAGTCTCTCTTAGTGAGCTCAAAGCTTCCTCCAAAGTGAAAAACACGTTCAGTCTCTCCTTAGCCTTACATAGTTATATAGAGCACAATAGGCGTGGCTAATTAAAGGGACATAGTCCTCCATTAAAAGCCATTCGTCAGTATTAGAAATAAGTTTTTTGAGACTCTGTCCGTACATTGAAAGAGTATACATGCAGTAATTCACAAAAAACATAAGTCATTATATTGATTCAAACCATTTGGTTCCAAGGTGTTAAATAAAAAAATATAGCATGCCTCCTGTTGATGTAAGAGTTTATTAATATCCACCCCAGGGGTCATTTCGTAGAAAGAGAGGTGCAGGAGCTCATTAGCATAACTCATTTGCATATGCCACACCCCCTGACATCACCGAACGTGTGTCAGAAGGCAACACGCACCGTTCAGGCTCCACTGGACTATTTTGGATTGCTAGCTTTTGGGGGGTGGGGAACGTGCAGATCTGTCCTCGCAGAGGAGGGCGAGCTCGTACCTGAATAAAACTTGGTCTTAAAGGTGCCACTGGACTGTTTTGGACCGGGGGGCCGGGAGGAGCTCTGCAGCTTGCCTGGCTGCTTCTTGCTCTGACTGAGGGCTGCTGGGAGCAGGGGGTGGGGCTTGTTGCAGGTGCCTGCCCCCTGGGCTCTTTACTGCCAGAGCTCCGCTCCTGTGCGCTCCTGCAGGAAATGACCCCTGATCCACCCTATTATAGGGATAATTTTTAATTTCTTTAAGTACAAAGAATCTTAAGTCTTCTGGAGTATGTTTCATGGAAGAAAAATGATTTGTTAAAGGGTCTTTATCACTTGGTCTTTAAGGCGTGATTTATGTTCCAAGACCCTTATTTTGGTTTTGTGAGGTATCAGCTTGAGGTAACAGCCTTTTGACTCATGCATGGCTTAATCTGAAGCTGTCAGCCTTTCTAGACCTGCCTCTTAATCCTGACCTGCAGTTACGGGACCTTTCTAACTTTTGTTTTCCGATGTCCGTCTGTCTTTCTCTTCTTTCCCTCTCTCCCCCCCACCTTCCACGTCTCTCTTGTTCTTTTCTTCCACTTTCCCTGCATCTCCTTTGGTCTCTCTGGCTCCCTTCTGCTCCTCCTCCACTTCCTCTCCGTCTGTCCCCTCCCCATTCTGCCTGCCTTTCTTCTCTTAAAAATAACTCTTCAAATGGGGGCAGTCCTTGTGTTGTATCAGCTCAGGACACCTCTCAGCTTGAGGATCTCAGCAACCCATCCGTTGGAAGATCAGTTGTCGAGACCACCTCTGACTTCCAAGGGAGGTGGCCTTCTTCAGCAGACCCTCCTGTCCCCGCTACCAAATAGCTGCCCCACGTCCCCCCCCCACCTTTCATTCTTCGCTGAATTACTCTCCTCCTGTCTTCCCGCAGCTGCTGAGTTCGGGCCAGCGGCAGCTGTTGCTTTGCGAGACTCTGACGGAAACCGTTTACGGCGACCGGGGGCAACTCATCAAATACAAGGAGAGCAATTTTTTCTGAACGACATGCTGGTGTGCGCCAATATCAATTTCAAGTACGTGCCTAGAATCTTTGCGCCGTGTCTTTGAGATGGGGAAGGTATAAAGAGGTCAGACTCAGCACTCTTTGGAGCACAGCGGAAATGGAAGAATGCAGAGCGACTCCCACGCACCTCAGGTGCCCGGCAAAACCTCTGTGTGCTGATTCCGAAGGGGGGGAATCTCGAATTCTGCACTTTGCCGTACAATTTCCTCCCCAGGAATTAATGGTAGATGTTACGCTCGCACCTTGTCTTAAGGTGTAAGAGGACTTTTACGAGTCTAGTGTCTTTGAGTGTGACACAAAGGTGGGAAATTTCCACACCGGTTTCAGATGTCAGGTTGGGTCATCTTCACTGCATTCTGGGGAGAAGAGAGCAGTGCCTCCCCCCCTTCCAATAACTGTGGGGCTGATGGACCTGTGGCTTGACCCCTTGTCCAAACATGTAAACAGAAGTGTGTTCTAGTTGGTGTTAAGCCCCCACATGCTCAGAGTACTGAGTATGCTGAGAGCCAGTTTGGTGTAGTGGTTAAGTGCGTGGACTCTAATTTGGGAGAGCCGGGTTTGATTTCCCACTCCTCCACTTGCACCTGCTGGATGAACTTGGGCAAGCCATAGCTCTGATAAGAGCTGTTCTTGAAAAAGAGCAGTTTCTGTCAAGAGCTCTCTCAACTCCACCTACCTCACAGGGTGTCTGTTGTGGGGAGGGGAAGGGAGAGGAGTTTGTAAGCCGCTCTGAGACTCCTTTGGGTAGTGAAGGGCGGGGTATAAATCCAATCTCTTCTCTTCTTCTTCTTCTTCTCTTCTTCTCTCTTGATTTATTTGTAAGATGGGGGGGGTCCCTTTCCTCTGGAAGTAGCAGGGCCTTCCTCTTGCCAGCAACTCATGTGCCGTACTCTGGCTGCTTGGATGTGGGGTGGGGCCATCCACAGATTTTCCCAAAGACTTGAGGAGTATGTAATGAAAGAATGCCTTCGCACAACCTGTGAAACTGTGAAACCTGTGAAACTCTCTGCCATAGGTGAATAGCGCTGGCCACAGCCCTAGACAGCTATAAAAGGGAATTGCTAACCGAACGGGCCTTCTGTGTTCAGGGGCAGTGAACCTCTGAGACTTACTGGCAAAGGGAGGCTTTGGCCCGTGAGCCTTCCAGGGCATCTGGTTGGCTGTTGTGAGAAACAGGCTCTGATCTGATCCAGCAAGCGTTTCCTTACATTCCTGTGAATGATGCTGTAACATTTTTCTTCTGCAGGCCAATGAACAACAGGTAGGTCAAGTGTGTAGTGTGGCATCTGCCCCACGGTCTGGGGCTGCGGTCTGCAATGCGAAGGGATAATGTGGTGCTGGTGGTCGTGCTTGTGGTTGCTTTGGCCTGCTTGGTTTGGGGACGGGCTGAGGTGGTTATAAAGCTTTCAGTGACTTGTGACTCTGTAACAGCCGTGGTTCGTGGATGGCATGGCTCCCCACCTGTCTTCCTTTGCATGGTTGTGGCATGTAGAGTTGTATTCTGGACTACTGGTTTTCAAATATTCAGTCTCTGGGAGACCCTTTCCATGTTGAACTGCCTCGCCCGTGTGTCCCTGCCATGGAACAGCAGCACATTGCAGAGGGTTTGGCGAATGTTCTGCCGTGCCCTGAGTTTGTGTGTGTGACTCTGGCTAGGTTTGTTGGGCTCCTGTGACCTCAGCGCTTGGCCAAAAGCACGTTGAATGCTTGCCAACTGATGCCTGTTGCAGGGGAAGAAGGATTGCTGGCAAGCGAGCTGTCGTTCAGATCAGCTTGTCCATCTTCTCACTGAAGATCCCCAGACAAGATTCTGCAGAATCTGAGGGTTCCCTGAACTTTTTGTTCCCTTGTTCTTCTGCAATTTCTCTCTGCGCTACTCCTGTTTAACTCAGGTTTAATTAGGAGAACCACTGAAAGTAATTCGGAGACTGAATCATGCTCAGTTTGTGAAAGCATCCATCTCACTCCATTCATTTACTTCTCCCCCCATGTGGGTGTGCACATGTGCTTTGATAAAACATTGCACAAAAGCAACCTTTCTCGTGTTACTGTGATTGCATTAAGATTCTACGCATGCAGTATTTTACAATGCACCCATGTGTGCCTGTGCATTGTAAAATACCAAACCCAAAGAATTGTTGATGTGCACAAGTGCATTATCACAAAGGGAGAAAAAGCATGGGAATGAACTGAAGACTACAGCCCATGAGCTGCTCTCCGCAAAATTCGGAAACAAAACCCGAAAAGTGGCAGGTCCCCAATGCATCACATCCATGTCTGAAATACGACTGGAAAATGCAAAACCTCAAAGTCCAGGGAGAAATTTTGATGAGGACAACTTCTGAAGTAATTCCTACTTGGAATGAAGCTTGAGAACCATGAGTCTAAATGGTTTCCAGTGGAGTTGTGAAGACTTTAATGGAATATTCTATAACAGAGCATCTGAATAACAGCTTTAAATTCAATTTAATGTGAACTTTTTGGGCAGAGTTATCCTTTTTCAGTCTCACCTGACTTGCAAGGTGAGGCTTGTCAAGGCAAATACAGGAGTTGTGGAATAGATAACCTCCACCAAAAGACAAGGCAGGGAAAGAATAGAGATAGTAAATACAATTGAATATATAAATGTTTATAAATACGTCATTATCAAGAAGGTGCAAAGACTTAGCGGCAATCACACTGGAAGGTCAAAAGAGTTAACCTTTACCCAGTCCCACAGATGTAATATTCTTACAAAAGCATTAAAAAAATATTAAAACTGTACTGATCTAAAGGCTCCCATTTTATTTGCCAGGGGCATGTGCCCTTCACGCTGCATCATCTCAATTAGTTTTTTCCCCCCAGTTATTTTTTCACCTCTTGGGAACAGAGGGAACTTCTCCCCCCACATCCAGCCCGTCTACCTTTGGCTGTAACTGATAAATTTGCTGCAAGGCCTATCCGTTTCTGAACGAAAGAAAGCTTATGAAAGCCTATGAAAGATGAATTCTGAATTCTGAAAGAAAGAAAGCTTATGAGAGATTAATTCCTGGGTTCCCAGTGAGAATCAAAAAGAAGCGTTATCAGTTGGGCTTGAGAGGAGAGAGTCTGGGGCTGAGGGGAAACCCACCCAAGCCTGGATCCATTAACTGGAGTAAAACTGACAGGCACAAGATGGTTGCTTTTTAAAAGTGAACAAGAACAGAGTTTATTCGGAAAAACACACAACTTGAGATAAGTATTAACACTTACATTAAACTAACATGGCCCTGACTCTTAACTTTTCCCTGTCGGCTCCTCTGGTTGGATTCAGAGCACTGCATTGGCCACAGTCTTTGGGACAGCTCTGAGAGAATCGCTCTTAAGGGATGAGCTCTGAGAAAACCGTGACTGACCCAAGGTCACCCAGCTGGCTGCATGTGGAGGAGTAGGGAATCAAACCCGGTTTTCCAGATTAGAGTCTGCTGCTCTTAACCACCACACCGAACTGGCTCTCTCCATGGAGGGCACTGTGCACACTGGTCCAAGCCCCTTGGAGAATGCGCTGGGCACAGAGGTACTAGACAGAAGGACAGTTCCTTGGCTGGCCTCTCTTGGCCGTTTTGCCCCTCTGCCCTCTGAGTGGTCGTTCCCTTAAAGTCCTCCTTCCCTTGACGTGTCTTACTCAGCTTTGGAGCGCTGTTATTCAGGGCAGAGGCATGGTTTTGCAGGGTGGTTCCATTGCTGTGGGATTCTGTCGTCTCCACATACGTGGGGAGGGAAGCTGGGGGAGTGTTTGCCTCCCTCCCGTCTTTTCCCCCCAAAAGGGTCTGTTTGTTTTGCTCTTGCAGGGGACAGTTGGAGATCAGCAGCCTCGTCCCCCTGGGCCCCAAATACATTGTGAAGTGGAATTCTGCCCTCCCGCAGATCCAGGTGGTGGAAGTCGGGCAGGAGAGCTGCACCCACGAGAAGGACAACGTGGTCATCCAGAACGTGGGCTCCAAGAAGCACATGCCAACCAGCCAGTCTTCTCACAGTGAGGGACCTTCCGCTCTTACGGACAGCTGGCTGATTTGGCTTGGGGGGGGGGGGTGTCCCCAGAGAGGGCGGCTGGTGGGGCCAGTGTGACCCCTGTGCTCGTGTACTTGTCTGCCTCTTTCTCTGTTATTTATTTTATTTTGTTTACTAAATTTTTGCCCCGCCCTCCCAGCCTCCTGTTGTCCACGGAGGCTGATTGGTACCCAAGACCAGTTTGAGAGCCAGTTTGGTGTAGTGGTTAAGTGCGCGGACTCTAATCTGGGAGAACCGGGTTTGATTCCCCACTCCTCCACTTGCAGCTGCTGGTGTGACCTTGGGTCAGTCACAAGTTCTCTCGAGAGCAGTTCTCGAAAGAGCTCTCTCAGCCCTCCCTACCTCATAGGGTGTCTGTTGTGGGGAGGGGAAGGGAAAGCTGCTCTGAGACTCCCTTCGGGTAGTGAAGGGTGGGGTATAAATCCAATCTCCTCCTCCTCCTCTTTATAAACTATTCCAGCAGCCAGGTTTGAAAGCCGAGGGGCTAATCAGCACATTAGGACCAGGTGCAGAGGGGAGAAACATGCTGGAATGGAGATTTCTGAGTCCTTCTATCCCAGTCAGAAGGTGGCAGGGGTGTAGCAGAGAAGAAACTCAGGGTGCAGAGGTTCGATGGGCATCGCAATCAACTCGACTAGGGCAGTGAAATCAGCTTTAAGAAACGCGTTCACTGTCTTGTCTCAGGGTCAGAATCTGCAACTAAACCTGCCCCGTCTCCGTCCCTCCTGCAGACAGAGTCTACCTGGGCCCGCCCCGCCTCTTCCAGGAGCTCCAGGACCTACAGAAGGATCTGGCCGTCGTGCAGCAGATAACCCTGCTCGTCAGCACCCTCCACGGCACCTACCAGGTGAGCTCCATTCCCAGCAGGGTGCCTGAGACCCAAAAGACCCCCGTGAGCCAATGAGGATGTCGGAGGGATTCAGCTGGGTCAGATCGCGATGTGTTGTGTATGGAGCAGAGAGGTCCATCCGTGGCTCTTAGCCTCAGGGTCTAGAGAGGAACTCTTGGTCTGGGGCAAGGGGTGCTCGGGGAGGTGGGGGCAACTGTGGGAGGGCTTCGAGCAGGCCCGTAGCCAGGATTTTGTAAATAATAACTTGAAATAAGTCAGGGGGCACTGATGTCACAAAATCAAAAATAAAATTTAAATAATATATTTTTTAAAAACTCACTTTTGCAGCATTCGCACTCTGCCTGGGGAAGCAAACCGTGCCTGGGGAAGGGGCAGTAGTGGGGAGTCCTCCGGGTGGCCCAGAGAGCTGGGGGCCAGGGGGCTGGATGGAAGTCGGGGGGGGGCTTGGCAGGAAGTCGGGGGGGAGGCCCCGAAATGCCCCACTGTCGCTACGGGCTTGGCTTCTGGTCTCCTGGCCTCACTGCTGGACCTCCAGGTGGCCCCTGGTATTTTTGGCCACCGTGTGACACAGAGTGTTGGACTGGATGGGCCATTGGCCTGACCCAACATTGGCTTATCTTATGTTCTTATGTCTGGGGTAGTGATGCTCTGTCTTCTTGGTGCTTGGGGGGCAACAGTGGGGGGGGGCTTCTGGAGTACTAGCCCTGCTGGTGGACCTCCTGATGGCTCCTGGGTTTTGGCCCCTGTGTGACCCAGAGTGTGGGACTGGAGGGGCCATTGGCCTGATCCAGCATTGGCTTCTCTTATGTTCTTATGTCTGGGGCGAGTGATGCTCTGTATTCTTGGTGCT